TAGCCTCTTGTAGAAGCCTTCGAGACTGTATATATCTATCTGTATTTGCTACTAACCGTGTTCCTGAATTTACTAACAGTATTACCCTTTGTATGATTGTGTAAATACATTTTATTTCTTATATTTAATTATTGCGTTTGTTCTTCATTGGAGACCGAATTCATCTCGGAATCCACAACAGATTCCCTTTTATTCTTTCTCCTCTTTCATGTATATCTTTATCTCAGGTATTTTTATTTTCTTTCCTTTACAGATTGTGTAGAATGTCACTATCATCAGCTAAGAAACGATGTCATTCAAATGAAGAAGATATTCGAGAATTTAAAGAATACTGGACTGAAGAATGCGGTAGGATTAAAAGAAAATAAAGACTTATGGAATTTCTTTTCTGAAACAATCTTTTGTAGGACTTCTTCTGATAAGGGACAGTTTGAAAATGTTCGTAAGGTTCACTTAATCAATAAAACAAGGTCATAAATTCAGGGCTCCGAGTAAAGATCAAACTTACTGCACAGTCGTAATGATCTGCGTAACTAGATTTTTAACAATTACCTGACGGTAAATATTTACTAATGTTTGACTGGCACAAGTCAGTCATATATCGTAAGATGATCGCCTAAGCGTGTATCACGCATGGCACATAACTGACTGACTGAGAGTAAGAAGTCGAAGAGAATGGAATCTCTGAAATGAAGCCTGGGTAAATATTAGGGTAGACTTGCTAAGGTATACAGTATAGGAAAAAAAAACAACTGTGAATCAAAACCTAACCTGTAGAGGGATGGCTCCTTCAGATTTAGATTGGTGGATAACCTTGGGCACGTGTGCCAAATATGGTACACCTATGAATTGTTTCTGGCACGTGAATCTTATTCATTAGATTCCCTTTTATTCTTTCTCCTCTTTCATGTATATCTTTATCTCAGGTATTTTTATTTTCTTTCCTTTACAGATTGTGTAGAATATCACGATCATCAGCTAAGAAACGATGTCATTCAAATGAAGAAGATAGTAGAGAATTTAAAGAATACGAGACTGAAGAATGCAGTAGGATTAAAAGAAAATAAAGACTTATGGAATTTCTTTTCTGAAACAATCTTTTGTAGGACTTCTTCTGATAAGGGACAGTTTGAAAATGTTCATAAGAACTTAAGCAATAAAACTGAAGAGGAAAAAAGAGAATGAATTTCTTGTGAACTGAACAAGACAAAAAACAGGCTGATACTTTTACGAACTTTATTTCATGTTGACCAATTCCAACTTAGTTGCTGCTAGTTTTGAGATTTCAAAAATTTTTTGTTGGCACGTGAAAAAATTTAGTGTCAGATCTTAGTCCGGTTTTCGCACTCAAATTTCAAAAAGTTTTGTGATGTCAACGAACACGTTGACACTTTTGTAATGTCAACGAATACTCATTGTCACTTTCATAATGCTCGTTGTAGTAGAGACTTTGTAATCGCAGATACAACTATAGTAACGCCGTTGAACAATACTGGTGACAAATAACACTCGCACTAACAGTACTTGCTCGATAATACTCGCTCGAAAAGTAGCCACAGAATAGTAATCCGTATAGTGATCAGTATAGAGAAATAGTATAGTGAATAGCATAAAGATAGAGGATAGTGTAGAAAGAATGATCCGTATTGTAATAGAGGATAGAATAGAAATAGTGATCATTTAGACGCCACACTAATTCCCATGTATACATTTCCTTTTATTAGGTTGGTGCAAAAATAATGACGTAATAATGTCGTTTTTTGACGTTAAAATACGTCAAAAAACGACATTATTACGTCATTATTTTTGCACCAACCTAATAGATCATGTGATCTAATTATTCAAAATGTGATCATTACTTGTGTTTGCTCTTTGGCGACCCGTCTTCAAACTCCGGGCCTAGCATCTGCACCGGTTTCTTAGGTTTTCGCATGCCATGTTCTCTTAGACAGAGAACACCACGGTGTTTTAGAACAAGTTAAAAGAGAAACCAACCAGTAGCCCTGGAAATGTTGCAGAAGATATGAAACATTTCCAATGCTGTTGATTGGCCTCTCTTCTACTTTCTGTCTCTTTAAACACGCTGCCATATTTAATGAATTACATTTACTTGAGAAAAAAAAAAAGAAGAAATATATAGGCACAATGAAGATGTTCGCCATTGATTATAAAAAAGAATGAACCACATTAACTAAACAAGCTGCCAAAAAATGATGATCAGGGTGGTTCTATAATATTTTTTTTCAAAATCACTAATTTAGGAACTGGCTATTGGCGTAATGTCTGGGACTATCAAGACCAGTGGTTGCCAAACTTTTTTTTTTCCTCTGGGCTGCATTTTAGGAATTAAAATTTGCTCGCGCCTCACCAAATTTTAAGTGATAAAAAGTACATTTAAAAATTTAAAAAAAAAACAGAGAGGCTTAAAGGGAGATAATCGCAAATTCGAAATCAGACCATTATCACTGATAACTCTGCGAAAACTAGTTACTTAATACTCACAATGTTAAAATCGGTTAATAATTATTTATAACTATTTATATTGGAAGTTATGCATCCACTTACAAGTAATCCATAATAATATTTTAAATTTTGAAATCCTATTTATTTTTGGCATATGATTTAAAAAAAAAAAAAACTCTTTCTAAATCTTTGATTGTCTTTCCATCATTCCGCCTCACCGGCTATCCTTTTCCACTGCATTGTTTGGCAACCACTGGTCTCAACTATAGTCATTCTGATGTTTCGAAGAACACTGGAGATTTGTTTAAAATATGATAAGACTTGGTGTCACTCAGTCCCCAGCAACAGTCACATTTGGTATCCTCATTCAAATGTATGAAATAAGAATTAGAAAAAGAATAATAATAATAATTATTATTATTATTATTATTATTATAACAATAAACGTTTTAATAATAAATTAAAGAATAACAGCAATAAAAATAATAAGAAGAATAGCAATAATAAAAACAAAAAAGTTTTAATAATCAATTAAATCGTAAACAATTAAAAATATTGAGACTGTTAATTTTGAAATATTATTTTAAATTGAGCCTGCAAACCGTTGAAAGTGGAAGGAAATGCAAAAATATTTGATCTTAATTTCCAGATTTGGTTTAAGCGTTCCACTGGTGTTTCTTTGTCCCTAGAAATAATTTCCCGAATTTTACTACCGTCAGTTTTCGATCTCGAAGTTTTAAAACTTAAGGTAGAGAAGAAACCAACCAGCAGCCCTGGAATTGTTTCAGAAGAAATGAAACATTTCCATTGCTGCTGGCTAGTTTCTCCTCTACACTGATTTTTTTTAAAACAAGCTACCATATTTAAAAAATTATATATACTGAAAAAAAGGAAGAAGATATATAAATATATATATATATATATATATATATATATACACCCTGAAGATGTTCCCTGTTGTAACCTAGAGAGGATTACCGAATGATGAATAACCAAAACGGAGGTTGGAAAATGAAATAGTTATCTTTACAACATCAACAAAATACAATACTCGCCAGCGGCGTGAATTAGGTAAACCACTGCTGGTTGTGGACTACTTAGACAGTATATTACCCCCACCACCACCACTTACAATAGTGTCCAATGTATTTATTGGGACATACCCATTAGTGTTCAGAGGTACGGTATATAATATTCCTCCATTGATTTAAAAGCAAAAAATCACACTGATGGCGTTGATCTCCCTTTTCTCTCCATATATGCTCAGCCATGTCTGATTTTTTATTTCTTCTCGTGTTACGGTCTTCCTTGCAGTCTTATCTTAAGGAATGGAAGCTGCTTCTCCTTTATATTTCTTGCCACAGCTGCACGGGATGGCGTACACATAATCCTTAAACATGTTAAGTGAAGTGTCCAAATATTTACTAGTTCAAACAATTGGGGCACCCAGTGAGGATCAAACTCACTTCTTCATGCTTCTCGACAATATCCTATCCTTTGTAGCTTTTAACAATATTTAGTTTTTTTATTATCCTTTCCAATCATTGTACTGCCCTGTGAGTGTCAAATTCTCCAAGTCCTCAGCCCTTGATTCGTAATCTTAACTGTTAACCATTACCCGATGTTGAGGCGCTTAAATATTTAATAGATTTAGTATGGCACACGGTGGAGTAATGGATAGAGGCTTAGAATGAGGAATCGGAGAGCCGAGTTCTAATTCCAGTCGAATCCATTACATTCACTTATGTGCTAATACCCTTGGGAAAGGTATGAATCCTCTTCTTCTCCCCCCCTCCCCAGCTATGGATAAATTTGCAGGAAAGACCGGGTTCTATAGCCTTGGATGGCTGAAAGAAATGGCAACCTACTGTGGGAAAAAATCTGCCTAATCAGTCATGTATCAAAAGATACATGATCGCCTAAGTGTGTATCACGCATGGCACATAACTGACTGACTGGCTTTCCAGTCGAATCCAGTATATTCACTTTTGTTCCAATACCCTTGGGAAAGGTATGAATCCTCTTCTTCTTAAGCTATGGGTAAATAGCAGGAAAGATCGGGTTCTATAGCCTTGGATGGCAGAAAGAAATAGCAACCTACTGCGGGAAAAAATCTGCCTCGTCAGTCATGTATCGAAAGATACATTATCGCCTTAGCGTGTATCACGCATGCCACATAATTGACTGATGGCACACGGTAATAACTTTTGGGCACCCTGTGAGGATAAAATTCACTATACAGTCGTAATGATCTGCTAGTCCCACTTTCTACTGAAGCGCCCATAGACATCAAGTAATCCTTGACTAAATCATAATATCGTCTTTTGCATTCGACCTAGCTTTCACCACTCCTGAACAGGAACTACTCAGGCAAGCCGGCATGCGTGACAAAACGGGAACGGCGGTGTCAAACAGTTGACCTTTATAACGTGCCCTTGAGAAACTATTGACTACCTCTTTCCGTAACAAATTGCTTCGGGTCTGAACTGTAGGTCAAAGTTACTGATCCCTTTTTTTTCCTCACTTTTTAACCACAGCAAGTTGCAGAGGGAATCGACACCACACCTATCTTGTGGTTGCAATCTGTTCAAACAATCCTTCTTCGCTTTAATTTTCCTTTTCTTTTTTCCTTTTCTCTTTCTTCTTTCTCTTCTTCTTCGAGACTCTGCCTGTAATCGTGTTATTACCTTCCTTCCAATAGAATTCTTTTATTTTCCCCTTCGATTTTCTTCTTCTTCTAATTATTCACTTTCTTTCTTCCTTCCATTTTTTTTCTTTATCCATTCTTTACTCTTGTTCTTCTTCTAGACATCCTTTTTCTTCCCTTCCAATTCTTTCTTCGTCATTCACTTTTCCTTCTTCATTTTCTTTTTTTCCTTCCTGGTTATTTTCTACGCCATCTTCTTTTTCCAATGTTTCTTCTTGTTGCCTTCCTTGATTTTCTTCTTCCAGTCCTCGTTCAGTTTTCTTTCTTTTTTTCATCCACTTCCTCCTCCCGTTTTCTTTCTTCATACAGATTTCTTCTTCTTTTTCTTCTTCTTCTTCTTCTTCTGGAGAACATCTTCTTCCTTTACCTTTCTTCTTCCTCTTCTCATATTCCAGCCTGCTTTCCTCCTCCCCACTCCTACACCTCCTCCTCCTCCTTCTTCTTCTTTTTCTTCTTCTTCTTCTTCTTCTTCTTCTTCTTCCTTTACCTTTCTTCTTCCTCTTCTCATATTCCATATTTTTCCTCCTCCCCCTCCTACACCTCCTCCTCCTATTTTCTTCTTCTTCTTCTTCTTCTTCTTCTTCCTTTACCTTTCTTCTTCCTCTTCTCATATTCCAGCCTGCTTTCCTCCTCCCCACTCCTACACCTCCTCCTCCTCTTTCTTCTTCTTTTTTTTCTTCTTCTTCTTCTTCTTCTTCTTCTTCTTCTTCTTTTTTAAAGAAATTCTTCTTCCTCTTCTCATATTCCAGCCTTTTTCCTCCTCCCCCTCCTGACCTCCCTCCTCCTCTTTCTTCTTCTTCTTCTTCTTCTTCTTCTTCTTTACCTTTCTTCTTCCTCTTCTTTTATATTCAGCCCTCTTTCCTCCTTAAACTCCCTACATCTCCTCCTTTCTTTCTTCTTCTTCTTTTTTTCTTCTTCTTCTTCTTCTTCTTCTTCTTCCTTTTCTTTCTTCTTCCTCTTCTCATATTCCAGCCTGCTTTCCTCAAAAAAAAAAACCTCCTCTTTCTTTTCTTCTTTTTTTCTTCTTCTTCTTCTTCTTCTTCTTCTTCTTCTTCCAAACCTTTCTTCTTCCTCTTCTCATATTTCAGCCTGCTTTAAAAAGAAGAACTCTTACACACCTCCTCCTCTTTCTTCTTCTTCTTTTTCTTTTTTCTTCTTCTTTTTTAATTTTTCTTTTTTCCTTTTTTCTTCTTCTTCTTCTCATATTCCAGCCTGCTTTTCCTCCTCCCCCTTTTTCTTCTTCTTCCGTCCTGATTCTGTCTTCTTTTTCTTCATCCACTTTTTCTTTTCTTTTTTTCTTTTTGCCACCCTTCCCCCACACCCTTAATAGATTTATCCTCTTTTTTTCTTTCTACATTATTCTTTTCGGGTGTTTCCATTTTCATCTTTTTCTTTTCACTGCCTTCTTCTGATCATTATCATCATTATTATTATTAGTAGTAGTAGTAGCAGCAATAGTAGTAGTAGTATTTATCTTCTCGCCCTCCTCTTCTTTTTCTTCTGGTCCTTCATTTCATTCTTTCCTCCATATTTCTTTATCCGCTACTTAGTAATTTTCTTCACTCATTTTTTTTTTTTGCTTTCATTCGTCATAGACTTCGTCTTCTTATTTCCGCTATTTCTCCGATTTCGTTTTATTATTCTTATTTTTTATAATTATTTAGTCAGTTCGCGCTTTCAATTCTCCTGCTTCTTTCTTTTCTTCATCCTTTTCTTCTTCTCTTTTGTTTTTCTTTCTCTCCACGTCCGCATTTCTTTATCTTTTCTTTTTCTCATAAAATTCCCTTTCTCCCCGCTTCGCCTACTTCTCACAACTGTATTTTTAACTTTGTTCGTCCGGACCGACATTTTCCCTTTCTTTCTTTTAAATTCTTCTCCTTATTTTCTCTTTCTCCTTCCTTCTTATCAAATTCCTCTTCATTTCGCCGTCTTCTTTTTCCAGTCTCCTCCTCCATACCCTCTTCCTTATTATTGTTCTTTCCCGTCATCTTTTCTTTTTTCTTTTTTTTTTAAGGAATAATTTCTTTGCTTGATTTCAAGTAACCGCCATTTTCCACAGCCATATCATTCCTCTTCCCGCCATTTTTACTTTTTTCCCGCCATTACTGTTTTGAGAGTGTTTTTCTACGCCCCATCCCTTGTACTTGATGTCATTGTCACCATGACAACCGCCATTGTCCGAATAGAATCAGAGCAGTCATTTTATGAGTGGATTTCAATTTGAATCTTAATTGATGAACTTATACACACCACGCATCTTCTTAGGGCATAACCTCTGCCCTCTTCCCAACATCACCTTCCTATCCACCCATCTTATCAATCTCAAATCAATCTATATGTTCAACCTCAGGAAATTCAATCTTGTTCACTTCACTTGGCTAGCATCAAATGAAAAAATATAGTCGTACTCAACTCAAAATGGTCGACACTCACCTCTACTATCCTTGGGGGAAGTAGTTGTACGTACAAATAATATTCTATGAGTTAAGATATATTAGGTTTTTCAGCAATGATTTTGAAGCAATTTAATTTCTTTCATATCAAGGTATTGGAGCTATACGGTCTTCAATTTATTTTGTATTTATTTGTACATTTAACATGAAGAAAATATTTGTCTACCAAAATAACGAACAAAATTAAATTCATAATGTCTGCATATCTTAGATGAACCTTTCTTTTCAATTATTATTATTTTTTTTATTATTTCATTTCATTTTATTTCTCTGCTTTTGAAATTTAAAAAAATGAGTAATTATTTTTTATTTAATTACTTAAAATGAAACCTTATCAATTATTTATTCATTTTTAATTTATTTGCAAAGACAATTTTTTTCATTCTTGTTTTTTCCACCAAGTAGTAATTTCTTAAGTTGTCTGATTTTCTTAGAAAAGCCTTGTCAATTATTATTCATTTTTTAGTATTTCTTTCATTTTATTTTCCTTTTTCAAAAAAGTAATAATATTATAGTTGTTGAATTTCTTTAGATGAAGCCTTTAAAAAATTATTCACACATTAGTATTTCTTTCATTTTATTTAAATTGATTTTTTCCACCAAGTAGTAATAGTCTTAAGTTGTCTGAATTTCTTAGATGAAGCCTTGTCAATTATTATTCATTTTTGATTAGTATTTTCTTTCATTAAAATAATTCTCTTGCTTTTCTTTCACACCAAGTAATAATAGTCTTTTTGTTCTGAATTTCTTAGATGAAGCCTTGTCAATTATTATTTCATTTTTGATTAGTATTTTTTTCATCTTATTTCTTTTTTTCCACCATAAGTAGTAATAGTCTTTAGTTGTCTGAATTTTCTTAGATGAAGCCTTGTCAATTATTATTCATTTTTGATTAGTATTTCTTTCATTTTATTTCTCTTGCTTTTCCACCAATAAGTAATAGTTTAAGTTGTTAGAATTTCTTAGATGAAGAACTTGTCAATTATTATTCATTTTGATTTCGTATTTTTTCATCTTATTTCTCTTGCTTTTTTCCACCAAGTAGTAATAGTCTTTCTTGTTGTTGAATTTACTTAGAGTTTAAATTGTCAATTATTATTCATTTTTGATTAGTATTTTTTCATTTATTTCTCTTGCTTTTCAAAAACCAAGTGGTAATAGTCTTATAGTTGTCTGAATTTCTTAGATGAAGCCTTGTCAATTATTATTCATTTTTTGATTAGTATTTCTTTCATTTTATTTTCTTTGCTTTTCCACCAAGTAATAATAGTCTTAATGTTGTCTGAATTTCTTAGATTGAAGCCTTTTCAATTATTATTCATTTTGACTAGTATTTTTCTTTCATTTTATTTCTTTTTTAAATCAAGTAGTAGTTTTAGTCTTAAGTTGTCTGAATTTCTTAGATGAAGCCTTGTCAATTATTATTCATTTTTGACTAGTATTTCTTTCATTTTATTTCTCTTGCTTTTCCACCAAGTGGTAATAGTCTTATGTTGTCTGAATTTCTTAGATGAAGCCTTGTCAATTATTATTCATTTTTGACTAGTATTTCTTTCATTTTATTTCTCTTGCTTTTTTCCACCAAGTAGTAATAGTCTTAAGTTGTCTGAATTTTTTAGATGAATTTTGTCAATTATTATTCATTTTTGACTAGTATTTCTTTCATTTTATTTCAATTGCTTTTCCACCAAGTGGTAATAGTCTTATGTTGTCTGAATTTCTTAGATGAAGCCTTGTCAATTATTATTCATTTTTGACTAGTATTTCTTTCATTTTATTTCAATTGCTTTTCCACCAAGTAGTAATAGTCTTAAGTTGTCTGAATTTCTTAGATGAAGCCTTGTCAATTATTATTCATTTTTGACTAGTATTTCTTTCATCTTATTTCTCTTGCTTTTCCACCAAGTAGTAATAGTCTTAAGTTGTCTGAATTTCTTAGATGAAGCCTTGTCAATTATTATTCATTTTTGACTAGTATTTCTTTCATCTTATTTCTCTTGCTTTTCCACCAAGTAGTAATAGTCTTAAGTTGTCTGAATTTCTTAGATGAAGCCTTGTCAATTATTATTCATTTTTGATTAGTATTTCTTTCATCTTATTTCTCTTGCTTTTCCACCAAGTAGTAATAGTCTTAAGTTGTCTGAATTACTTAGCTGAAGCCTTGTCAATTATTATTCATTTTTGATTAGTATTTCTTTCATTTTATTTCAATTGCTTTTCCACCAAGTGGTAATAGTCTTATGTTGTCTGAATTTCTTAGATGAAGCCTTGTCAATTATTATTCATTTTTTAGTATTTTTCTTTCATTTATTTCTCTTGCTTTTCCACCAAGTAGTAATAGTCTTAAGTTGTCTGAATTTCTTAGATGAAGCCTTGTCAATTATTATTCATTTTTTGACTAGTATTTCTTTCATCTTATTTCTCTTGCTTTTCCACCAAGTAGTAATAGTCTTAAGTTGTCTGAATTTCTTAGATGAAGCCTTGTCAATTATTATTCATTTTTGACTAGTATTTCTTTCATCTTATTTCTCTTGCTTTTCCACCAAGTAGTAATAGTCTTAAGTTGTCTGAATTTCTTAGATGAAGCCTTGTCAATTATTATTCATTTTTGACTAGTATTTCTTTCATTTTATTTCTCTTGCTTTTCCACCAAGTAGTAATAGTCTTAAGTTGTCTGATTTTCTTAAATGAAGCCTTGTTAATTATTATTCATTTTGACTAGTATTTCTTTCATCTTATTTCTTTCTTTTTATTAATAGTCTTAAGTTGTTGAATTTCAAGCCTTGTCAATTATTATTCATTTTTGACTTATTTCTTTCATCTTATTTTCTTGCTTTTACCAATGAATAGTCTTAAGTTGTCTGAATTTCTTAGATTCATTTCAATTATTATTTTTTTTTTAGTATTTCTTTCATTTATTTCTCTTGCTTTTCCACCAAGTAGTAATAGTCTTAAGTTGTCTGAATTTCTTAGATGAAGCCTTGTCAAATTATTCATTTTTGACTAGTATTTTTTCATTTTATTTCTCTTGCTTTTCCACAAAGTAATAATAGTCTTAAGTTGTCTGAATTTCTTAGATGAAGCCTTGTCAATTATTATTCATTTTTTGACTAGTATTTCTTTCATCTTATTTCTCTTGCTTTTCCACCAAGTAGTAATAGTCTTAAGTTGTCTGAATTTCTTAGATGAAGCCTTGTCAATTATTATTCATTTTTTGACTAGTATTTTTTTCATTTTATTTCTCTTGCTTTTTCCACCAAGTAGTAATAGTCTTAAGTTGTCTGAATTTCTTAGATGAAGCCTTGTCAATTATTATTCATTTTTGACTAGTATTTCTTTCATTTTATTTTTCTTGCTTTTCCAAGTAGTAATAGTCTTAAGTTGTCTGAATTTCTTAGATGAAGCCTTGTCAATTATTATTCATTTTTTGACTAGTATTTCTTTCATCTTATTTCTCTTGCTTTTTCCACCAAGTAGTAATAGTCTTAAGTTGTCTGAATTAATTTTAGATGAAGCCTTGTCAATTATTATTCATTTTTGACTAGTATTTCTTTCATCTTATTTCTCTTGCTTTTCCACCAAGTAGTAATAGTCTTAAGTTGTCTGAATTTCTTAGATGAAGCCTTGTCAATTATTATTCATTTT